ATATATATATATATAATATCTGCAGTATATATGTATGTGTGTGCGCTGTTTAGGCATTGACAAAATGTTCTGTTCTAATTTCTGATTGGCCACTGTGAATTAGCACTGGACCATGTCTCTTTTATAAACCCACTAGAGTAAGAATTCTGTGCTGTCATTTCATTATAGGTGGTTTATCCTGTGGAGCAAAGTATCTCCGTGGTAAATTCTGCTGTCAATAACATACCGCGCACGTCGGTGTATCCAGAGGTAAGACATTCTTAAAGCACACTGAAAGCTTATCATAAAACAGAGCCTGCAATGGTATTTTCCTGCCTTTCTATGGGTCACAAAAGATGCCCTTACACTGGTGGCTGGCTATGAAAATCTGATGTTGGCATGCCAGGCCAGGTCTGCAGATCAGTGCACCAGTAATGTAGAATTGTGTGTATCTGGTACACTGATCTGTGTTGACATGTGCCCAGTGGTAAACTCCATCCATCGTCAACATTAATGGGGGATGCAGACATACAGTAGTGGCTGTGAATATCTGTGCAGGGGAGCAGGTGTGATGATTTGGGATCTTCGGACCCATGTGAGGGTACTCTGGCTCTATATTGCACCTTGGTTTTGCACTCTGGCTCTATATTGCGCCTAGATTTTGCACACTGTCTTTATATTGCACCTGTACTGTATATTGCACCCTGTACTGTATATTGCACCTGTACTGTATATTGCACCTGTACTGTATATTGCACCCTGTATTTATATTGCACCTGTACTGTATATTGCACCCTGTATTTATATTGCTCTTATACTGTATATTCTTTTCATGAAGGCGGCTGAAAGGGATGCACCCAATCCATCAAACTCTTCTACAAGCAGTATGCATAGAGTGAACATAGCTTCAATGGAGCCACTGCAAAGAGAACTGCCTGGTTACTCACAGGTAAGGCTGGGCACACACCTTACAACAGGGGTGCCCATAAGGTCGATCGCGATCTACCAGTCGATCGCAAAGCTATCGCTGGTAGATCGCGGGTCGACTCCCTGTCCCGCGCTCCGTTTACCCGAATATGTCGGACGCTAGAGCATCCAACACATTCGGCTCTCCCCTCATGTCTGCATCCATCAGTAGTACTTGCCGCACGTAGCGTAGGTCGTGCCGTCTCTTCCGTGAGACACTTGCTCCGCCCCCTTGGTCCGCCCCTCAGTCTTCTTCACTGTCCATAGCCTCCAGCAATCGTGACACTGGCAGCTCCTCCCTCCTCCTCCCTCTCAGCACATTCGGCTCTCCCCTCCTGTCTGCATCCGTCAGTAGTACTTGCCGCACGTAGCGTAGGTCGTGCCGTCTCTTCCATGAGACACTTGCAACGCCCCCTTGGACGACCGTTCAGCGTCATGCGTAAGCCACGCCCCGGCAACCATAATGTTGATGCGGCCCACGATTAAATTGAGTTTGACACCTCTGCTCTACAGGTTAGGTGTGCACCATGAACCATGAGTTCCTAGGTGCTCTTCACTTCTGCAGGTGTTTTCTATTGAAAAATAACGATTGCATACAGGTATCTCTATTTGTTTTACTTGCAGGGTACCCCTAACGCTTCTGCAGGCCAATACTCTGATGCAGATGACACTAGCCAACGCCGCCCAGTGGAATCAGTCCGAAAGCGGGTAAGAGCAGTCCCATTTCTGCAATGATTTACTGCAAAACCGCTAATGCCACATTATAGTTTAAGTAGGTGTAGACACTAAATGATTGACATTTAGTTTGCTAACGCACTGGCCATAATAAACGGTTACATTTGTTCAATAAACTTTTTACACTTTTTGTTATCCTCCCTTTTTTTTTTTTGCATCTCAGTCCTGCTGATCTCTTGCAGCCTCTGTGCAGCGCTCCAGCAAAAAATAACACAAACTCCATTACAAAAACTAGAGGCCACCACCTAAAATTGGTGGAAAAAAAATTCCAGCACAAGGGGCGAAGGGGGTTCTTCACAGTAAGATCAGTTAGGGTCTGGAACTCACTGCCACAGACAGTGATTTCAGCAAAGAATGTGGAATTGTTCAAGAAACTTTTGGACGATTTCTTAAGGGACCGTAATATACAGGGGTACAGGTACTCCTAGAATGAGATCCTAATAGGTTGGACTTGATGGACTAATGTCTTTATTCAACCTCAAATACTATGTAACTATGTAACTATGTAGCAATGTCTGTTGAAATAGCCATTTGTAATCTCCATTGGAAGCCCAATGTGATAGAAGGACCACAGAGGAACACAGTTTGGAGACAGGGACAAAGTGTTGTCACCCTATAACAGGAAGTTCCTGAAAAAGGACCTTCATGTGCATATTTTAATGAAACCTGCAGATTTAGAAATAATAAAAATGGCATTTAAAAAGACATTAACACGTTAAAGCTGATGGTATAGATCTCATAATTTGGGGGCAGAGGCAGCAACACAAATACTTTTATTTATTTGTGGTGGGAAGAGTTAGAACCTCTGTTAGACTTTTATGTCTGTCTATATCTTGCTGTTTTAGGGCTAGTTCACACCAGCGGCAGGCGCTACGTTGCACATAACAATGTGAGCTGGTGTGCGCTGTTAAAACCCATTGCAGTGCTTGCTTTTTTAACTTTACTGACTTACTTAAAGCTTTAGTTTAAATAAAGTTTATTTACCTTTACACTTCATTAACTCTATGCACAGAAGTGCAATGTTCTGCAGTATGGCACGTTGGAACACAATATCATATTTTGTTTTGTTAGCCCACAGCAACGGAGCACATTGGTGTGAACTGGACCAATATGACATAGGGCAGATTGTCTAATCTATGCTCTGGGACAGTGTTGGCCAATGCTGCCCAATGCAACCCAACATGGCTGGTGGGAACGAGCCTTTAGTGACACCCTAATCTCCATGAACCCATCGCACTCCTGACCGCTTGATCCAAAAGTAACTGGTGGGAGCTACAATGGCCGACGGATGGCGCAGTCACACTCTCAAAGTATAGATGGGACAACGGCACTGCAAATGAGGATAATCTGCGCGTCATTTATTGACAAAAGCGCAACATATCACATAAGTGTTACGTTTCTGGGTCACCTAGGATCGCCTTCCTCAGGCAAGTGTTGTTAGTGACACCCTAACCCCACACTCCTTACCCTGGTAGCAATAGGAATACAAGTGATTGGTGAGTGTGGTCAGAGACAGTAATGCAGAGCCAGCAGTCCTTTCCCGCAAATATTCTGTAGAGAAAGAGTTTTGGCTACAGTTGGACTTTAACTTTTTATTTTCTTCTGTAATAACTTTAAACATATTGTGATAAAGGTGACAAGTTCTCCATCCCAGCATCTACCAGTGGTGAGTTCGGGGTCTGGAGCTAATGCTGGAGCAGGGCAGCAGCGCAGGGAGCAGTCTACATATCAACCGGTAAGAGACTGTTCTGCTAATGTCTCCTATCTTTCTATATACAGATATATATTCGAAAAAAGTAACCCTGTCCTTCTATGGTGGAAAATGAACAGTCTATTCTTGCTGCAATACTAAAAAGATGCTCTACTCAGAATTAGTATTAGAAGTTTTGGGTGGCCACAGGAGGTTAAAGCACTTGCCAGTAGGGATGTCCCGATACCACTTTTTCAGGACCAAGTACAAGTACTTCCCCTCATGTCGATACCAATTACCAATGCTTTTTTTAAAGGGACAGGTGACTTTAAATGATCCATAGTACAACTGCATGTTATGTACTATGGATCATGATTTAACCTGTTCATGTTAGCAGGGGAGAATTGTAACTTTATTACTGCCGTGTGTACTCTATATGTAGTACATATATACAGTACATATTCCCAATACGCTGCAGTAATAGATTTACAACTATCCTCTGCTAATATTAATAGGTTAAATGATCAGTAGTAAGAGTACATGTTATGTACTATGGATCATGATTTAACCTATTCATGTTAGCAGGGGAGAATTGTAACTTTATTACTGCCGTGTGTACTCTATATGTAGTACATATATACAGCACACACCTCCACTACACTCCAGCAATAGATTTACAATTCTCCCCTGCTAACATGAATAGGTTAAATGATCCATAGTACATAACATGTACTCTTACTACTGATCATTTAACCTATTAATATTAGCAGAGGATAGTTGTAAATCTATTACTGCAGCGTATTGGGAATATGTACTGTATATATGTACTACATATAGAGTACACACGGCAGTAATAAAGTTACAATTCTCCCCTGCTAACATGACTGGGTTAAATGATCCATAATACAACTACATGTTATGTACTATGGATCATTTAATCCATTCATATTAGCAGGGGATAACTGTAAGTGTATTGTCTGCAGTGCGTACTCTATATGTACTACATATAGAGCACACACTGCAGACAATAGATTTACAATTATCTTCTGCTAATATTAAAAGTTTAATAGGGACCCCTCCTTGCCCTCACTTTTCGATTGATTGCCGGTGCCTCACGATGTGGCTCGCTGGTGAGGTCGGCGCTGTGCGGGAGAGCAGCGGCGAGTCAGCGCTGGTCCGGTGGGAAGAGCTCAAGTGGGGTCCTAATTTAGCTGGCCGGCGACTGCCCGATCGCCTGCCAGCTAAAGTAGGACCCCACTTGAGCTCTTCCCACCGGACCAGCACTGACTCGGCGCGGCTCTCCCAAACAGCAGCCGGAAGGTAAGGTAAAAAAAAAAATTGCGCAAGCTTCGGCGCTATGTATCTGGGCATTTTGACGAGTACAAGTACTTGTCAAAATGCCCTGTATCAGTCCCGATACCGATGCTAGTACCGGTATCGGGACATCCCTACTTGTCAGCAATTTCTTTTTAGCTGGTGTGACTTGGCTACATTCCACATGGACACAATGATGGTGTCACTTTCACCTGACTACCCCAGCTATTGATGTGGATCTCTCCATTAGGAGAGGGTGACACCATCATTTTGATTTGTAACAGTCCCTTCCATTACAAAGGAGTACCGTGATAGAGATATCACTCCACTGGCAACAAGACAGCCAGTCACTGACCAGCAGCAAATATGTGAAAGAAAAGGTCAGAGGTCTTTGACTTCTTACTGGTTCCAAGACTTCAACTCAAAGTATTGAAGAAAGATGGTATATATGATAACCAGAGAACTAACATTATCAGATGGGTTCAGCAACTGCAGTCTGCATATTTCTCTCATGGCGGGTTCGCTTTAATATTAATTGCTGGCCTAGTTGAAAATGGTAGAAGGGATTTGCGTAGTGTTGATGGGTGATTTTAGCGTGGGACACATGATCAAATTTCTAGTATATTGGTTATATCAGCAACACTGCAGAGAGCCTGGAGCAGCATTTTCATCAGCAAACATACGTATTTCAGCCTGTCTGTATTTTCGGCCCAGGCAGTACACTTGACCAACTTTTGGCCAAGTCTAGATAATATCTGTATAATTTTTTACTCCAGATAGATTGACATACCTCTCTGTTAACATGTGAGCATAGATCTGGTTTATTTGACTCCGGTAGTGTTGAGATTTCTTGATATAATTCTGTGATGCATTTGCAGAACGAACAGGGTTCATCGTGTAGACCAACAAACGATAACCGCGACTGGCGTGTTGGCAAACCAGGAGTGCTGATGTCCACTGCCAATGCAAATGCCACAGGAGGAGCCATCGAGTGCGCACCATTATCCAGGATACCTGAATTGGAGATAAGTCTCGATGAATCAAGCCATGGGCGTTCCCGATCTTCAGATTCTTCCCAGTCACCAGCCATGAGGACAGGCACGGGAAGTCCCTCGCCACAGGGAGAGGCAACAACAAGCACACCTAAGAAAGCAAACTCATGGAGCTCTCCTAAAAGGAGTCTAGCGGAAAATGAAGAGACTAGGGTGGTTTCTAGCGCTGCATATGGCAGAACAACAAATGCTTCTTTGTCACAAGAACCGGAAGAGAACAGCTTTGAGCTTTCCAGAGACTTGGATTACTACAGAATTCAGTATAATGAGGTTCCATCAGTGGACGTCATGGCTGAAAACCGTGTACCGCAACACAGAACCATGAATAACTCTGGAGCCAGGGAGACAAGTGACAGGGAGGCATCTCCAGAAAGAGAAAGGCCCAGGGAGAGCAATCTGTACAATCCCCTTGTTATCACACTTTCAGTTGCTGTTGTTTGCCTTTCTTTATACATATGGCTCAAACTCAAAAACTAAGACTTTAAAGGAACACTCCACTTTTACCTTCTTTTCCCATAATGCCACTGTAGCAGTGGCGACTCTAGGAACAATATATAGGGGGGGCACATAAGATACCACAAGTAGAAATGCCTTAATCAATTGATATGATTCTGGTCATTTCAAGATGTACTTATTTTTTCTATACACTGCTTTGCTACTTTGATGGACAATAGTGGAGGACTAACCCTATCCCTACCACTAACCCTTTCGCTAACCCTATCCTTCACTCTATCACTAACCATCCCGCTATCCCTCACCATAACACTAACCTTTTTGCTAATCCTATCCCTCACCCTAACACCAACCCCTCTACTATATTTATCCCTCACCCTGTCACTATTCCTAACACTTACCCTCCTGCTAGCCCTATCCCTTACCTTAACACTATCCCTAACACTAACTTTATCCCTCACCCTTACACTTATTCTCCCCCTAGCCCTATCTCTCATCTTAAACCTAACCCTCATGTTAAGCCTTCCCCTATGGTTAAAAATAACCCTTCATCGGGTGAAGTGATTTCCTTGTCTGCATACTTTAGTCTCAGATTCTTCGCACAGAAGACTAAAGCCAGCCATACACGCTTAGAAGTTCTCTTGCTTATGCTTCAGCGGCTGCTGAATACCCGTAGAGCGCCTACATCTGATTGGATGCAGGCGCTGTTTGGCCGAGAACTGTCAAAGCCAAGTCCATTTGACTTGACTTTTTTTTTGCCCAGGGTAAGACTTCCCTTTGCAGCTGAGTGCCTCTCAGGTTGCAAACGTACACACAGACACCATGTAGCCATTCCAGAGACAAGGCAGTCTGCTGCAAAACAGAAGTTCTGCCCAGCATGAGAAGAGATACAGATATAAAAGGAAGAGCAGCAAAGAGAAGGGAAACAACCATGGATAACAGTAAGGCGCACATTACAGTATTGTTTTATGTTAAAAAATCTGAGGGTTTAATGTCCCTTTAAGGACCCTGTGCTAGCCTTAGAAGCTATTAGCTTTATACTGATTTTCTTTTTACTTTAATTTCACCGTTTCTTCAACTACAGTGGTACCTCGGTTCACGAACACTTCTGTTCGCGAACAATTCGTTTCGCGGACAGGAAGTTCGGCAAAAACACAACCGCAACCATCTTCCCTGCTCTGACACATGGCGGCTTCCTCCAGTCGACATCGCGGTCTGATCACAGTTTGATTCAGTTCGCAACCAATTCGGTTCGCGACCAGAATCGTGTAAGGAATTAAGTTTGTGAACCGAGGTACCACTGTATTAGAAATGGTAAAAGGGAAAAAAATCTAAATGATATTGATGAAAAGTTTAGCGTGGAATTAAAATGGAGCTGAGCAACCCATAGGTCATGAGATGGTAGCCGCTTGATCTGCCCATTCTTGATATGCCAGACGGTTGCTGTTGGGGGATGACGGGCAATCGGGTAACTCACAAAACTTCTCTGGATCATTATTATCTGTTTACTGACACCGCCCCTTTTCACCTTGCACCCCTCCATTATAATAAACATGTATGTCTAGCTGAACCAAGCTAACAATTGTATGCATTCTGCAGCGGTCTGTATACATTCTGTCTGCGGTAGCAAATACCCTCTAAACTCTGGATACAGCTTCAAGTTTTAACCACTTCCAGGCCGGCCGTTGTAAAAAAACGGCCGGCCGGGAGCTCTCTAGATCTGAGCGGGCGTCTTTAGACGTCCGCTCAGCCACGCCCCCTTGCATGCGGGAGCGGGAAAGTCCTAAAATGTAAAAACGGGCAGCGATGCCCGTTAACATACAAGCGATCCGCTGGCTATAAAAAAATGTAAGTTTCCCCCCCAAAAAAATTTAAGTTACACATAAAAAAGAATGAAAAAAAAACAAAGTCCCCGTCCATACATACACGCATGCAAAAATGCGTCGGGTGCACATACATGCGAAAACAACGATTGCGCCCATTACGTCGCACATGTTACATATCGCCATAAACGTCGGAGTAAGAGCAATAGTTCTAGGGCCATCAATCACTGATAACACTAAACTGATGAGCGGTAAAAGCTTTTATGGTCAATTTTGTGTATGGTAGTTTTTTGCGATTTTTGCGGGTGCGCGCAATTTTAAAGCTTGACATGTTTGGTGTCTATTTACCCGACGTGGCCCCGTCTTTTATATTTTACCAAAAATATGGGTAATCCCATAAAATATTGTTTCCTAATATAATGGAAAAAAAACGTTTTGTTTTTTTTCAAAATTTTCAATAATTTTTCCTTAATATAGTAAAAAAAAAAAAAACCCCAGCTTTTTTTCATTGCATACCTTATTTTATACCCAGTGACATCATCACTGAGTCTATGTGCTTCTCTATGCAATAGAGGCAGATTGTTTCTGGTGGGGTGGCAGAGTGCTGCACAAAGCTTCCTGAAAACATCGCAGCACCCTGCCACCCAGTACTTCTTTCAGGAGCTCTCAACCCTTATGCAAACAGTAAGGCCTTGTCCACACCAAATGCAGAGCAGATCCGGTCAGGTTTCTGCACACGCAGTCTGGTGGGTTGTGCCGCGTTTTTGATGCGTTTCGGGCCGGTTTTGGTTAAAAAAAATATATATATAATGCATCTGCTCCACGCTTGGTGTGAACAAGGCCTAAGCCGGCTCTTGGGGGAAATTATGTAAATTATTAGAATATCTTTGATGGGTGGGTGTCAGTCTGGAAGAGTGAGATTTCCCAGGATGACTGTATTTGCATGCAGATTGCCCATTAGGTAGACCGGGATCTACCAGTAGCTCTCAAAGCTGATGCTGGTAGATCACGAAGGGTGTGAATGGCGGCCCCTTTATTACATTTTGGTATATTTATTTAGCTGTGCACACATGATTACCTATTAGCCTGAGTCTGCTGAGCTAAGCTCCCTGACACCTTTCTGGTGGATACTGGAGGTTGAAGTGCTATGAATCAAAGAATATTAGTTTACACAGCCTGCTGCACTGCACTGTTTGCAAAATACAGCAAGGTGAGCCAGGAGAGAGAGTCGGGAGAGACATCCAGGGGAGAGAGCAAGGAGAGACAGCCAGGGGAGAGACAGCCAGGGGAGAGAGCGAGGAGAGACAGCCAGGGGAGAGAGCGTGAGGAGAGAGAGCCACCGGAGAGAGCGGGGAGAGACAGACCGGAGAGACAGCCAGGAAAGAGAGAGAGAAGAGACAGCCAGGGGAGAGACAGCCAGGGGAGAGAGCGAGGAGAGACGGCCAAGAGAGCGAAGAGAGACAGCTAGGAGAGAAAATGAGGAATGACAGCCAGGAGAGAGAGAGGAGAGACAGCCAGGAGGATGAGCAAGGAGAGACAGCCAGGAGAGCGAGGAGAGACAGCCAGGAGAGCGAGAGAGCAAGGGAGGTTTTTTTTTTCGTTGGTAGATCTCATGTAGCTCGTCATTTGAAAAGTAGATCTTAACACAAAAAATTGTGGGCGCCCCTGGTCTATGTAATGCCCACATGTGATACCCAGCCTCCATGATTAAGAGCAAATGAAATCCAATAATTAGTTTGCTTCTGAACTCTTTATACAAGGCGGCATGATGCCAAACATACTGTAAAATAGATTTTGCGTTTACACGCGCGTTCAGGTATGGTGCAATGCAGACAGTTCGCTATGTTGAAAACGTTTGTAAATTTTCCAACCAATCTGATCCAAAAAAAGTCAATCAAAAGTCATAAAAAAATAAATGTTCAAGCCACTTGTAAATATAATTGCATTATCCAGCAATCTATAAAGAGAGCCGACATTCAGGTGTGTGAAAGAAAGTGTATATATGAAATCTTTCTTTTTATGTTCAGCCATCTTTTTTTTCAACCACCTTGTCTTTCTCTTTTGACTTTGTCTTTCTAAAGAAACAAAAGTGTAAACAAGTACCAGTTTCAGCTGAAACTAACTGGCCTCTTCTGAAGGTCGTTTTGTAGATCAGGCTTAGGTGAGGGGCGGGCTTCCGATGACTGCAATGCTGAACGGTTAGGCCCGGTTCCCACTGCGCGATATGCAAATCGCGCGTTTGTCGTGCGATTTACATATTGCGCGATATCGCGAGATTTGCCGCGCGACATCGCATTCAAGCTTGCATTGAGCAAGCTTGAATCGCGGCTAAATCCGCTCCAAAAAGGGTCCTGCTGTAGCGACACGCGACCCGCGACAGCAGGACCCTTTGCCCCATTGAAATGCATTGGAGCGCAATATCGCGCTGTAATTTGCCGCGATAAATCGCTCAATCTGAACGGGGCTTCAGTGTGCGCACACCGGCCCGTTCGGCAGTCATCTCTCGATCATGTTAAAAACCAGCCGAAAATCGTACGATTCTTGGCTGGTTTTCCAACATGCTCGAAATACAAAAGTCGTGCGACCGTACAGTAGAAACGGTCGCACGCCTTCCATACACTGCACGATTATCGTACGATCGCTGGAATTTCCCGTGATTCTCGTACGAGAATCGTGCAGTGTAAGGGCACCTTAGAGTAGTAAGGGGTTTCCTGGGTCATCTGACTCATGTGATTGATGAGTTGAGAGAGAGCTAAAAACTCATCAGGTGCAAATCAAGGTGTCGGGGTTTCTTACCCTTCCTTGTCCAGATGCTTGCAGCATGGTTTGTGTAGTGTTTCTGACACTGTTTGTTCCTCCTTGGCGACATCTTATGATAAACCCATTAACATCACCATTTTGCAACTACTGACAAGACGTTTGACAAATTCCTGTCTCAGAGTGATGATGCAAACACCAGCTCACTATTTAACCATCAGCTTGTCCATTCAGTCTCCTCCCTTGCGTGTGTTCTGCTCTACCTAGTGCTCTGCTGTTGTTCCTGTTCTCCATGTATGACCCTTGCTCTGGCAGACTGATCTCTTGGTTCCTGACTCTGGCTATTGTTTCCGTTTTTTCTATTGTTCACTGACCCGGTTTGAGTGACTACGTGCTTTGGTATCTGACCTCTGGCTTGGCACTGACGACGTCCTGGACTTACTCCATTGTTTTTTGCCATTTATGTTTATTGTAGATTTCAATAAACTCAT